GTGTGGAAGTTTGGCTACCGGACTCTGTCTTCCATCGGCTTAGTGTAGGGGACGACCCTACGCGAAGCCATCGTCAAGTTGAGCGCGCCTTAGAGGTGAGCGCTCACAAGCGACTCGCCCGCTTCTGTGGTTCTTGCGCTGCAAGAAGTCGCCCAATACATCACCAATCTGGCTTAACCAAAGCACACGACATCTGATTCGGAGTCAAGCTCATCGCCGCCTGAGTCGCCAATATGACTGACACTCCGAGATCCGAGACCCAGACGAGGTTCAGCACCCCGGTGTCTGACCTCGACGACCACCGCCACCAGCCTGCATCTCTTCCACGAGCCGATGCTTCGTCTCCTCCTCGCTCGCGCCGACCAACTTTCGCAAGCGTCCAGGGCCAAGATCGACCCAACATACTTCTTCAAGTCAACGAAGCCCTTGAGGCAGACATTACTCGACGCGATTTCGAAAGCGCCGTAGTCGATGACGACCAACACTTGGCTCCCGACGCCTACATTCGCCGCGGCTCTCTAGCACACAGCCCTCAAGCCCGTCGAGAGACATTCAGGCGTCCGCGCGATCCGGCAATCGAGCGCCTGACTAGGAGCAGGGCTTCTTCGACGACTTCGCGGTCCGTCTCTCCTCCCAACTCTGTCGACGCATTCGCTGGTCCTCGGCGCCGCGACCGTGCCAACACTCTCCAGAGCCACGCAGGTTCTGAGCTTGAGCTTGGATTGAACAGGACGCTTTCTCGTGGCACCGCGCGCCGACCAACCCTTAGCGACGAGCGCCCTGATCTGCCAAACGACATCGAAGTCGCGTCTGCGCACAGTTCAGCACAAGAAGATGTCTGCTTCCCTGTATCTGAGGACACTGGCAAGACTACCAGATTCGACTACGAAGAGCTGGAGGAGTTTGTTGCAGAGGCTCACGACAAGACACCTATTGGCCAGCCTCTCCGTCACAAAGCGAGCGCAGCGTCCAATCTTTCTGCAAAGCCCAAGGTCTTCTCCGACCTTCGCCCCAAGTCACGCCAGTCAGGAACACCCAAGACCGACAGTGATGTCTTGAGTCTGAAGAACGCAGACCCTGCGGTTCAAGAGAAGCTTGCCGAAGAAGGTCTCTCCCACGTTTTCGCAGAGAAGCAAACTCCGGAAGTAAAGACCAACCGCTGGACGTTCTTCTCGTCCGAATTGGACGACACGATTCATGCTGCCGAACTAGGCGGACTACTTATGCCTGGCGAACGCTTCCGTGATCTGTTTGACACACCATTAGACGGCGGCGTCTGGTGGCTCGACATGGTCAACCCCACAGAAGAGGAAGTCTTCGCCATTTCCAAGGCTTTCGGAGTGCATCCTCTCACTCGCGAGGATATCTGCATTCAAGAGCCGCGTGAGAAGGTTGAGCTGTTTCACCAATACTACTTTGTCTCGTTCCGCTCTTTCTTCCAAGCAGACAAGGAGTCGGAGGAATATCTGGAGCCCGTCAACTTCTACGCTGTCGTCTTCAAGGAGGGTATCCTGACATTCACCTTCTGCGAGAGCCCGCACACGCTCAACGTGCGCAAGCGTATCAGCCGTCTTCGCGACTACATCAATTTGAATGCCGACTGGATCTGCTACGCCCTTATTGACGACATTGTCGACAGCTTTGCACCTGTCATTCGAGGCATCGAAGACGAAGCTGATGCAATTGAGGACCAAGTCTTCACTGCACGTATTGAAGACTCACGCGCCATTCTTCGATCGATTGGCGACTGCCGCAAGCGTGTCATGCAGCTCCTGCGTCTCTTGGGTGGCAAGGCAGATGTCATCAAGGGCTTCGCCAAACGTTGCAACGAGTCGTACAGCGTTGCTCCTCGGGGTGACGTGGGCATGTACCTCAGCGATATCCAGGACCACGTCGTCACTATGATGTCCAACTTGGCTCACTTCGAGAAGATGCTCAGCCGCGCGCACTCCAACTACCTCGCGCAAATCTCTGTTGACCAAGTCATCCAAGGAAATGACAGTAACGCTACACTTCAGAAGGTTACGGTCATTGCCACAATCCTTGTCCCGCTCAACTTAATCTGCGGTCTCTTTGGTATGAACGTCAAGGTTCCGGGTCAGGACGGCAGCCTTGCGTGGTTCTTTGGCATTATCGGTGTCATCTGCCTCTTTGTTTCGGTCTGCTTGGGAGTTGCGAAGAAGATGCGTTACATCTGATTGGAATTTTTTTGTTATATCGTCCTGACTATACTTTCATTGTTTGTCTTTCTTATGTTTAGTATTATCGTTTTTCGTTCAGCACACGTATTAACGCCAGCGCTGGTGTACTGGGGGGCTGTCGTAATCCTGGGTCATGTCATACACGATCACGTCGGTTTTTAGATGTGCACTCTAGAATAGAAAAGTATTGTTGTCAAACGCAAGACCACTACATGCCTGGTTGTTTGCCATTAGTCACGATTACTATTAGATGCAAAAACAATGTCAAAAACAATGTCAAAAACATGAGAGTATGCAGACCTAGAGTCGTGTAAGAAACAAGCAAGCCTGGAATGACGACACTCGCGCACCGGCATGGTGAGCCACGTAGATGTTGGTCGAAGCGATTGGTTTCTACCGATAGACCTAGCAAAAGACTACTGCACATTGCTGTTTCAGGTCGACTGTGTGCACGTTTATGTTTGTGAAATAGTGCAACATCAGTAGCCTATATTAAGGCAAAGGGTTGCATGGGCACACTCACATGACACTCCAGGATATGTCCATGGGTGACGATGCGGGTGATGATAGATAAGCCATAACTCTTCGCTATCACGCGAGCAACGCGACCTTGGAACGCATCGCCGGTGACGTTCCGTACTGTTCCTATTCGTTCCGAGGTCGGAAGCAACGATGGCGAGGTTGCCAAAGACAGAACGCGCGCCAACCTTTGGTGCTTCAACAGCAACTGTGCCGACGAACAAAGGGACATGGTGACGGTGAATCGCTGCAGACAATGAGTGAGTACCACGGCCAAGGTTCCACTCGTTGTCCGCAAGTTCGGAAGCGGTGACTTAGGCTCTTTCCGAGGGGCGGACTAAGTGATCCTTGCTTCGGCGAGAGCATTCGATCATGCAGCGCCTCAGCCGACCGACTCCCTTAAGTACAAACTCTCTCCCTCTCGCCTCTCTCTCCCTCCTCCCACATTTCGCCAAGACGCTCCCTGCACACCATATTCTCTCTTTTACTCGTAAAAATCAACTCAACCGATCGCCTCTGCCGATACTGTACTGTTGCTGCAACACCACCAACACCACACACTTCAGCGAGAACCCCGGACCGACAAAGCGAAATGGCGGAAATGGCGCAGCGGATACTCATGAATGAGTTCAAGCAGCTGAGCAAGGAGAAGTGGACTAACATCGAGGTAAAGTCCCGGTGACATTTCGTCGAGAGTCGGAGTCAGAGTGGCGATGCAGGAGCACCGAGCTAACCACGTCACAGCTCATCAACGAGAATGTCTTCGAGTGGAGTGTCGCCCTCATCGTCATGAATGAAGAGTCCATGTACTATGGCGGCTACTTCAAGGCTAAGATGTCTTTCCCGCGCAACTACCCGCATAGCCCGCCAGGTACGTCATTACCAATACGACATTCCAAGGATGGAAAGAGTCGCGAAGCGCAGGGAAGAAACTAACGGCTGATCAGATTTCAAATTCATCCGCCCGCTCTACCACCCAAACATCTACCCCGATGGACGGCTATGTATCTCCATCCTCCACGCTCCCGGCGATGACGAGATGTCCGGCGAGACTGCTGCCGAGCGTTGGTCACCCGTACAGCGCGTCGAGACGGTCCTGATATCTATCCTCTCCCTACTGGATGATGCTGAGGTTTCCTCTCCCGCCAACGTCGATGCTGGGGTCATGTTGCGTAACAAGCCTGCGGAGTACAAGGAGATGGTGAAGAAGGATCTCGAGCTCTCAAAGGCGGATATTCCCAAGGACTTTGTCATGCCAACCCAAGAAACAGCATGGAAGCAAGAGAAGGACGAGGGCCAATTCGACATGAGCTGGGAAGACAGCGACGCCGAGAGCTTGGACTTTGGCGGCAGCGAGAGCGACCTAGACGAGGACCAAGAAATGGACTCCGACTTCGAGGCTGATGACGACGACGCGGAAGAAGAGGACGCAGACACCCCCATGAAGCGCTAGATGTTGCCCATGAACTGCAAATCCGAACCCCTCGTCATGTGCGCGTCTCTGGCCCGCATGAAGGGGTCACTAAGGGGTGGGGCACTCTTATCCGAGCATTCGGGTCCTGACTATGGCACTATCGTGTCTGCATCGGCATCCTCTGGCCCGAACCCACACCCCAGTTACACGACATGGTGGACGTATGCGCATTAGTTCATCCGCATTAGCCTCACACCACCTTCCCCATCTTTCGATTCCTCGGTTTTCTTCCATATCTTCATTGTAAGCGCGGCGTTCGGTTCTGGTATTGGATTGATGGTTTTATACTTGCGACGGGCTTTTCTGCCCACGCCTTTGTCACTATTACAATGGCATTTGCATTGCATAGGAAGGGAGTTCTCAGGTCATTTTTCTATTACACGAGGCATGACTACTTTAGGTTTGCGACTTGCGGCGCAGGGGCTGCATGTGAATGGACGTAGACTTTGAAATGCATGGATTACAATTCTAGGCCAACAAGGACGACGTGTCAAGACTCATGATATACATGCGCCATGTAACAATCCTCTATGAACCAACTCCTCCGACCATATTCCTTACGTTCCAACATCTCTTCAAAAGTACAGGGTCTAGGGGCGCGGCTACTGGGTTCTCCTTCAACCAGTTGGCTAGCTCTGGCGATTTGGCCGGCATCAGAACTCAAGATTTACCGAAACTCTAGATGTCACGCCTGGTACTTGATGTGAATGTAAGACAGGGATGGTGTCTAGGTCCAAATGGACCGACAGATGGTATACCTTATTAGCGTGCCACGAGGACATGGCGTAACTACGTTCATGAGTGTGCTACCATGCCATGCCCATAGCTTTTCTCACCCTCTGCATGGTGCTTTCGGCAATTTCCTCTGCTTTTCGCGCACCTTCTTCCGCATACTGCACTAGTTCCTTCTGATCTCCGCTCATCAATCCATGATATCGTTGCCTTATATCGCTGATGCCCATGTCAACGGTATCAGCGACCTTTTCTTTCAGCGCCCGCATACTCAGATCCTTCAAGTCATTTGCCAGGTCTTCGGGTGATGCAGCAACAGAGTCATCAAGATGATACATAAGATCTACGAGATTTGACACACCAGGTCTGCTTTCACGATCATAGCTGACTCCTTCAATTGAGTCTGTCAATGCTGTCTTCAGCACTGCGTGTATTTGCTCTTTTGAGTCTGTTATCATGATGCGACTCTTTGGCTTCGGATCGCTCTTGCTCATCTTTTTTGTTGGTTCAGTCAAGCTCATGACTCGTCTGGCAGGACTGAGAAGTGTTTGTGGAACGGTCAACAGAGGTTGTGACTCTGAGTAAACGTGATTGAATCCGATAGCTAGCTCCCGCGTGAACTCTAGGTGCTGGGCTTGGTCTTCGCCGACTGGGACATGGGTGGTGTTGTAGAGGAGGATGTCAGCGGCTTGGAGGACGGGATAAGAGAAAAGACCAAGTTTCAGGGCGTCTTTGTTGTTTGAGGGGTCGAGTGGGGAGGCACTAGCTGGGAGAGAGAGTTTGCTCTAAAGACAGTATTAATGTAACGCCTCTCCAAGCCTGTTTTCTGCTATCGCATACCTTCCACTGGGTCATGCGTCCCAGGTAGCCCATGCTTGCACCACAGCTCAGAATCCACATGAGTTCGGCATGCTGCTTCACGCTGCTTTGCGCAAATATGATGCATCTCTTAGGATCGAGTCCCACTGCTAGCAGGCTAGCCAGCATCTCTTTTCGCCATGTTGCCAATTTACTGGGGTCCTGTTTTATCGTGACGGCGTGCAGATCGACTATGGAGAACAGAAGTGTGGTGTCCGGAGATGCTTCATCTTGAAGCCTCACCCACTGTCGCAGTGCGCCGAGATAGTTTCCTAGATGTGGTACTCCCGTGGGCTGGATTCCGGAGAATATCACCTTGTTCTGTCTGTCACTAGCATCATGTCGCCGTGGTGAAGTGACCGAGTACGTGCGCAGACAAGTCGAGCATATACGGAAAGGCGAGGGCGCTGCACGCTGCAGCGGTCGAAGTGAAAACATTGAAGTTGGCCGGTTGGGTCAGAATCGGAATCGTTGTTGCTCAGCCACCAGAAAGCGCGGCCGGGGTCTTGTAGCGTCGTCATTGTGGCACTGCCGCCCGCCAACGACGACTCGACCGCGCCCAACCAGCAACTCTCCCCACAACACGACGACTTCCCACTCACGACCCTGCTTCGTGCACACCCCGCTATACATTGTTGCTCCCCCACACCAGAGCGACCACACCGCAATCATGTCCTGGACCGGTAAGAAGCCCCTCGACGATGATCCAGGAAGCCGCCGGCTTACAAGACGCAGGGTTCAAGAAAGGCGTCAACCGCGCGACGACGCAGGTTCTTATGAAGACTGGCCAAGTCGAGCGCACAAATGACCGCGACTTCGAAACTGAGCAGCGGTACGCCTCTTCACCCGGAACCCGTCTTCCCCCTGCTAGGGAGAATACAACCCACATGAACATGAACAACACTAACGACATGCCAGCCGCTACCGCACCATGGAGACCGCTGCGAACAAGCTTCAGAAGGAAGCAAAGGGCTACTTGGACTCCCTGCGCGCCATGACTGCCTCACAAATGCGCATCGCCGAAACCATCGACGCCTTCTACGGAGATGCAGGAACAAAAGACGGCGTGTCGCGCTCTTACAAGCAAGCCGTGACCGATCTAGACGCCGAGACAATCAAAGCCCTCGACGGACCTTACCGAACCACCGTCCTAGACCCCATTCAGCGATTCTGCTCCTACTTCCCCGACATCAACGCCTGCATCACAAAGCGCGAACACAAGCAAATGGATTACGACCGCATGCGTGCACAAGTCCGAAAGCTCACCGACAAGCCTGACAAGGATGTCACCAAGCTACCGCGCGCTGAAAAGGACGAACAATTGGCCAAGGCCGCATACGACCAGCTCAACGACACCCTCACCACCGAACTTCCCCAACTTATCGATCTGCGAGTACCCTACTTAGACCCAAGTTTCGAGGCGCTGGTCAAGATTCAATTGAGGTTCTGCGCGGAAGCATACTCAAGAATGGCGCAGGTACAGCAATATCTGGATGCAAACACAAGAGATCAGTATGCACAGGGTGAGCTGGACGCACGGGTGGAAGAGGTGCTACAAGAGATCCGGGACTTGAGCATTGCGGGTACCGTATAAGAGATTGGCAGAGACGACATGTTTTCGTGTATCGTGTGTGGTAATTCTCTGCGGCGTCAGAATCATCGTTTTTGCGGCATTGATTTGGTTGTGTAAGGACAAGCAAAGGAATTGAACCATGATTTCACTGCTCTCATTAATCAACGCCTCGTGGTTGACGTAGCACATGCAAGGGGCCCTGGCTTGTCACTGCAATCTGCACTCATTCCGCGTATCGGTAGTCAGCAGCTCAATCCGTCTTCGCTGATTGAATAACCATGCCACGACGTTGACGTTCGCTAGATCACCTCAGGCTTCATCTCAAAATTAGGGCTTGATCAGAATGTAGGCCTGATTTCTCAACAAGCAAGCATAAGTGGCTTGCATCCTGCTGTAATGATGTTTGCAGGCACGGTTAATAGATTAGAGCGGCATCGGACTGAGCTTCGTGAAGAGGGTTCCATGGTCTTTGTAATACTGCTACGTGGCTTCCGCTGTGCTAGAACTGTTCAAGCGTGCTTTATGTCTTTGGAGACTGTGCCTGAGTACGAAGATGTACTAGATTTACTGCAACAGCAAGCCATCGGTACGTTTGAAAGATCTGCTTTTGGGTTTAGTGTAAGTATCGAACATTATTAGTCATTGGATGAATAGATACATATGTATGGAGTGAAAAAGTTCGGAAGGCCGGTCGGAATGGACGACCTAGCCTGAGCAATTGAAGATCAGGGACGGAGTAACACGAAACAAAGAAAAGAGAGCATAAAGTTCTTGAGACTATTGCACATATTGTCATTGTGATTTGCTGATGTTTGTATGGAAGCAGCAAGATGTTACAAACATACATGTTTTCGAGATAGTCTACAGAAACAACTAATTATTCGTTCACATACCAAGTCCAGATGTAACAAGAATTATAAAATTTGAGCCTTTTGCAACGTTGTTCTCATCTCCGCATTCACGTCGTGGGATATGCTTCCCATCATCCAACGCAGTCAATGTCTAGCTAGACAAGTTAGTATTCATGTTTCAGTTCGCATATTGTGTACGCCTATGTGTTCAACGATGTAAGGGGATGAATATGTGATTGATGCTTGTCAGAGGACAAGCCAGACACGGATATATGATATTGCTTGCAAGCGATTCGCAGAAACCCACTGCCAAGGAGCGCAGTATACTACCCAATCCGCTTCCTTATGGGCAAGTAATCATGAAATGTAAGGATACCTGCCTCTTCTTTCGTACATCGACACTGTCATGAACATGATCCGTTACTCGTAAGCCTTCGTCCATGCAGCGTTTCCAAGCCGCAACAGCCGCACGCTTTGAAAAGCCCGGTCTTTCCGTCTCCCGCACAGCAGAGGGCGTATTCCGAACTTCCATTTTGTCATTATGATGTCGTCGTGCGGCTGTCAAAGAGGTTTTAAGCTCGCAACTGCTCTACGAGGCATGAGGCTTGCCAGCTGAGTCGGCCTTGGCGCGAAGGTCGGCGGCGGTGGAGCCTGATGCGGAGAAGTAGCGAGAGAAGACGGGCTGGAGGAAAGAGCGGAAGACCATCTGAGCACCACTGCAGATTGTTAGCTTACATCATAAGCGCCACGAGAGACACTTACGAAGTCTGGGGGAGGGCCATCCAGAGGATCAGGACAAACTTGAAGGTGTAGTAGAAGGCTGGCAAGGTCAGACGTAAATCGTGTACACTAATCCTGGTGGACTTACGGAACCAGTAAACGGCGCTTACGGCGCTCTCGAAAACGGTCAGGAACGCAAAGGTCACCCAGTACTGTAACGCCAAGTTAGCCTTGTTGTGGAGCTTGTAATGGTCACAGTATGGCCAAATGTCTTGCCAGCGATAAGAAAGTGGGGTTTACATACTGTCAACCACTGAGTGTCATCAACCTTGCTTGCGCTGAATAGAGCCTCGAGCGAGTAGTAACCGGGAATGATGAATCCGGCAATGTTGACGAGGAATTCTCCAGCAATGTTGAAGAAGATGAGGAAGAAGTAAAGGCCGGCAAGACCGAGGACCATGTAGACCTTGGGGACCGACGTTTGCTTCTCAAAGTTGTTGAGTGCGGGGTACTTGGACAGCTGGAACACAACATGGTCAGTATACGTGGTTTTGTACAAATACTATTGCGATTGCGACTTCTCATCAAAAACACCTCTTCAAGTCGTATTTTGACAATTGTGCCATGTGCGGAAGCGAGAGCGCTTACCTCCTTGTCGAGCTGCGACAGCTGGGCCTGGGCTCTATCCTGGACAGACATGTTGAGGGCTGTTTGGGGGTCGAGTGTGGTGGATGCAAAGGGTTGAGATGCAATGGATTATGGTGGAAGAAGCAGAGGGGCTGCAATGTGTTCAGTAGGTTGGGAGGAGCAGGAACGTGGAGCCTGGAGATTGTGGGATGGAGGAAGTGGGCTCGTCATCGCTAAATACGTCACCGCCTTTCACGAGCCAGCCAGAGCGCTGCAGTTGCATGCCGATGCGACAGAATCGCGAGCATCGTCTTGTGTTGCGACGAGGCCAGATCCCAGCTGGCGACGATATTGCATTCACTCATCTCTTTTTCTCTTACATTGGCAATTAGAAAGTAGTGCGATTGCACGGGCGTTATGACGATAGTCATGTGACTGTCATGGTCCAAGCGCGCCGGCCAGTCTCCGTTGCTGCAGGTGCGACCGAGTTCAGACGAAAGCGTAAACATCCAAATCTTATCCCATAACAAACCCGCTCGAGGGCGACCGACGACGCCGACGACATCTTTTGGAGCCGGATATTCTTCCCCGGAGCATCCTACCACGTTGGTGACATCTTAGCTGACAGGACAACGTGTTGAGCTAGTCCCTGGCCCAAACAAACAAACCCGCCAACCCGGAAAACAAGCTGAGATTCGACCTACGCGCGAGCAGCTTCGCCAACATACTCCTTACACCTTAGTATCCCTAGAGCTTTCGTCGCTTGTTCTGTACACTCTCTCGCCTGTGTTGTCGCCATCTCCGCGCCGTTGCTATCGCATTGTTTTGGTGTAAACAGACGGAAAATCTGCCAGCCGGCATCCGCATCATGACCGACATCCGCCGATCACGATCAAATACATCAATGTCTACTAGAAGTAATCGCCCTCTTTCTCGCGCGTCGACGACGAGCGTACATTCATTCGAGCAATTCCAGCAACCACAACAGCCGCGGCCCAGCCAGTTTCCCCAACAACCACAGTACCATGCTCCATTCACAACCAGTGAAGCACTACAGCCTGCTCTGCTTCAGGCTGCACAACAAGTCAGCGCGCAGGACCAGCTTATCAACATGAGTTTGGAGAGTGTCCAGCAGTACCTTGGCTACCCAGCCGACCCGACCGCGAGCCACCCCCAATCGAGCGCCCAGCCCGCACAGCCAGACCACCACGCCTACCAGAATTCCCTCTCCCAACATTCACAGCATTCACAGCAACACAGCTTCATGGCGCCACCGATGGATACCGAAGACAAGAAGAAGAGGCCGTCAACGTCAGGCGCAGCTACCAATGACAAGGAATTGCGCCAGCTGTTGAACCAGAATGAAGGCCGTAACCTGAAGGAGGTTGCAGCTGAGGTTATCCAAAATGATCGAACATCCAAGGCAGAAAAGTCCAAACAGCTATTCGCCATGTTATGGTAGGTATTACGCGTCCATCTTGGAAATGTGCTAACGCTTCCCAGGTTACAGTCCGTCTGTCGTGTCGCGAAGACATCGGTCCCACGCAACCGCGTCTACTCCAAGTACGCAGAGCGCTGCGGTACTGATCGCGTTATCCCCCTGAATCCGGCGTCTTTTGGCAAGCTCGTTCGCGTTATTTTCCCTGGTATTCAGACTAGGCGGCTCGGTGTTCGCGGAGAGTCCAAGTACCACTACGTCGATCTTGAGCTCATCAACGACAACGATAACAGTGAAGAAGCACGTCGGGGCAGCAACGGTCCTGCTGCGCACCATGCCTTGAAGCGTCAGGCTTCAGGGACACCGAGACTCAATATGGAGTACGTCCCATTCAACGTACCATGTCCGTGTATATGCTAACAACCTCTAGTGCCATCCCACGACTACCTGCAGACAGCGCACAGTTTCCTCCACGAGAAGCACGTGTGGAGTCACAGAGTAGCTACTACACTCCGGCCTCATCGCGCGGCGTTCTATTCACCGACATCTACTCATCTCAGTTCCACCCTTCGCATACACGTACCAAAATTTCGTACGAGCACGAGCTCAAGTTTCCAACAGCAGACATCCTCGAAGCCCCTGATGCATTCGTGGTGGAATTGCCGGATATCAAACCATACTTACCAGCACGCACCGATCCCGATTCTGCCGACAACCTTGTTGCTATGTACCGATCGCATGTTGTCTCGTTGGTGGACTCAGTGCGCTACTGCAAGGAGAAGCAATTCTTCCGCCTCTTTGGTACTTTCCATGGGACATTGACTGTACCGGTGCAGAAGCTCTTTGCTTCGCCCGAACTGGCACCGTGGATCAAGGAGTGCGACTGGATGATGTACCAGAAGATGATCCGCAATGTCTCTCAGCTGACTCTCCAAGTGGCGCCGCCGCCAGTTCTGAAATTCCTCGACAACGTTGCGAAGACGTTGCACGCACACATTACTGCCAAATTTGCGTCCCTCCCAGTACATGTACTCGAGGCAAAACTTGAACCTGCTACATTGTTCGCCCACCTTCTCCGACAGATGCTCCGCGTCAATTCCGCTGCGCACGCGGCAGCCGTCATGCTCACCGCTGAGAGCCACCGCACTCAGATGTTTGCCGACTGGCTCCAACACGTTAACATCAAACGCATCATTGCGAATGAATTACCTGCGTCTTGTGCACACGAAGAAGTTTACAACATCCTAACCACTGAGATCCGATCGATGCTGGGTCCCCTCCCACAGGAGATCCAGCTGCCTTCCGGTTCGATGCATCGTGCAGCGTACCCTGACCCACCCGCCGATCCATCAGAATCAGTCATCGATCGCATCGCCGCTTTTCTAACACGTTTACCGTCCCGCTTCCCTGGTGCGCACGCTCGTACAATAATGCACTGCATAAGTGCACTTGGTTCAGCTGCCATAAGGGAGATCACTGTCGAGAATGGCATCAGTTTCCAAGGTTGGTGGCTAACCAAGGTCTTCGTGGACGAAATGGCACAATGGTTAGCATCGATAGGTGGTTTCCTCGGTCATGCACCGCCAGACTGGAGCTCCTCCAACTACTCGCCTGTAATTGGTGATTCTCTCAATGCCACCATGACCAACGGTGGCAGCGGTAGCAACAACGAAAGCCGGTATAGCAGCTTGGAAGCCGACTTCGGCCCAGATCAGTCTTTCATCTCCAATGCTAGCCATGTCACCATCCAGGATGCCGGGTCAAATCAGGAAGGTGAGTTTTTCCGCTCACAACATGGCCTCACATGGTAGTTGACTAACGCAAGACCATCAGTCAATGCTGGACGATTTGCTCAACCATCATCACAATACAACATGAGCTTTCAGTACGAGTACGACATGAATCCTTCACAACAAGAGCCGAACCACGACGATAGTGGCATAGGTCTTGGCCTTGGTGTACAGGAAGACGGCATTGACGCCAAGTTTGCGTCACATCTATCTTCAGCACTCTCACAAAGTGTCAGCTAGCCTGACCGTTCTTGCTTTTCGGACATCTTGATTACTTACCTATGCGTTCATGACGTCTCTGAAGTCACGACTAACGACTAACCGTGCTTGTCACGGCCTGTTAATATCTCTTAATTCCTTGTACTTTAGGGTCGCGGACGCAATCATGGATCGGTGTTGATTGGATTAGGTTGGGGTTCTTGCTTCCGCATTTCTGGGTTTGCAATACTGGCGTTATTGGGTGATATACCGCCTGCAAGGCCTGGGTTGGTGTTAAATGCAGCACTCTGCGATTCCTCCCCGCAGAGTTGAATTGAATATTTACCTCAAGATAATCGCAACGACATGCTTCCGTGACCAATTAAAAGAGGGCAAAAGCTTAGTCGTTTTCGGGTTCACAAGGCGGGCCACACAAACGTATCCCACCAAACTAATGACCAGAGATACTATTGACGACTTTTGTCCGGGGCTTCAGTGCGATTACTAGGAACTCTTCTGCAAGGCAGGCATGGTGCTGTAAGGTATATACATTCGCTCCCACAAGTAAGTGCTTTCAATTGACACCCCTGTAACTGATCCTCGATCTTGACTACTTCCATTTGTTTACAACTTTAATGCTAACGTTTCACTTATGATTTGTAGCCCCCTCCGTTACACTAGCTGACATAAACATTCAACCTCTCTAAACGGTCAACGTCGGCACTCTGCCGTTGCCGCTAGCACAACCCTCCTCAGTCGCCTGACCTCTTCGATCTGCGAGAAAGAGTTAGAACTTCGACATGCACTCTTTGTCGATCGCGACCGGCTGTCGCACGACGAAGGATCACACGGTGCAGTCTCACCGCTCGTTCATTGGGTTTTAGGAATCGCAATTACCTTGGCATGAGATGCCTACATACTTGGCGTTGTGACGACATCTTGGAGTAAGGAGAATATCACTATAATCGCGCTTGCAATATGGTCATTTAGAAATGTAATGAAGCAACATCATTCGACGATGCTGTAATATGAACTACGACTTCAAGGTAAAGTATCGTAACAAGAAGAATGCTGCTAATCGTGTCGTGGTCGACTAAGCGCTAGAAAATGAAAAAAACTCAGACTGACCTCCCTTCATACGCGGAACCGCAAGCACGAGGAGGCATTATCAAACTCCTAATTTCTTCCCCATGACCTCCTTTTTTTGCCAAAGTATGTCTTGCAGACGTCTTGGTTTGCACTAGCGTCCAGTCCTGCCGCGGAGGTCGGAACCCATTGCTTGTAGACCAGGTAACTGTAATCCCATCGTGGATCATTGAGTTGTGTCCTCCATGTCCAGAAGATCCAGCCGTTGGTCTTCTCATAGAGTCTCTGTTGAGCGATGAACCACTGCTTGTAGAACGGAATGTTGTTATCGTTCTTCCAATCAAATTCGGTGGTGTACTCGTTGGCAACGGTAAGACTCCATTCTTGCACGATCTTGGGGTTATCGCCATCGGTCTGGCGGTTGTCCGTGTAGCACGTGTAGTACATGTAGTCACCTTGGGTGGCGCTAGGATTGTTGGAGGTCACCGCTCCACCGACGTAGTTGTGATCATCAAAGATTATCTTGGAGTCTGATGGGAGGTTGGACTTGGGATTGCCGGCACCCCATTGTGAATCCATAAATTGGACGTGAAGGCGTTGGTCATCAGAGATACCCAAGGAATTCTCAGCGTTGCGCACGGCAGCAAGAGCTTGTGGGTAGTATTTTTGTGTCAAGGTATCTTTCTCAGCCTGTGGCATACCACCTTTGTCACGTGAGGTCTGCGGCTCGTTGACGACCTCGATGATACCAACAGTGGCTCTATATGAAGGAGTGTTATGAATGCGTTTGGTCATCCAGTCGAGCCACTTTGTAGCGCGGTCGTAATTGGCTTGGGAGAAGAAGCCTGGAAGGTATGCTTCAGGAAGACACTGCAATAGACATAAGCATTGACTCAAGATAGATCTAATACCCGAAGACTTACCTGTCCAGTGAACGCATCGCCCACCTTTTGCGAACCAGGTGCACCGTGTAGGTCAATGACCACGAACATACCCAGATCCGCAGCTTTCTGGATAACGGCATCAAGGTACTTCAGATCCATCTCAGGGAAGTGCTCGCCGCTGCCTACGAGGCTGTGAAGACTCCAGTATCCGATTGGAATACGAATGGTGTTCAGACCAGCATTATGGATATCTTGTATCATGCTTGGAGTAATCCAGCGAGAGTAATGACCGTTGAAAGCAGTGTTTGCTTGAGACTGGCCAAGCTTATTGACACAGTCAAATTCGGAGCAGGAGTCACCACAGCCCATGTCTGACCACTCTTGGCTCATCATCCATGGCTCTGACAGTAGCCAACCGCCAAGGTTGACTCCACGAATCTTCCAACTCGGAAGTGAATGGGCACGTTTGCTCAAATAGTTGCTGGTGCGGTTGAAGGCTGGAAGTTCGCGGTCCGCAGGCATCCAGGCCTGGACACCGGCTGCAAACAGACAGGTTAGAAGAGTTGAACTCTTCATGATGAGGCGGGGTTGAATATGGGGTATCTAAGTATAGAAGAGAAGTTGCTTTTTCCCACCTGAAACAGGAAACGGTGCTCGGACTTGAACTGCTGGAATGAATGTCCAATTGATTGAATGTTACACTGTGCAACTGGAGGACTATATAACTTTTTCACGGATCTTCGATTGATCGTGCTAAGCGGCACGAAGACACCACATCGTGAGTCCACATGGGGCAAATTGCCAAAGGGGCTCCTGACTGACGAAAGAGGCGCAAGGCCGGCCATGCATCTAAGATACTTCACCGGTCCGGTGTTCGAGTTTGCGAATCATGATGGGGTTGTTAGCCCCCAGAATGGACCATATCGCCCGAGGATCTTCTGGATATCCTGTAAGCCGCTGAAGTAGACCAGGGTAGAGCACATAACGTCGTATGAAAGCAGGCAATGGAGTGACATCGTTCGTTCTCCTTCACGAAGATCAGCTGTAGTAGTCATGAAGTTGATGTATAGTACACTGCTAGCAGGATCAGGCGACCACGAAGACAGTGCGAGGTGGAGCGACACGGCTCGTTCACTGGCGATTTGTCTTGTCGCCTGACACCACCACAGCTTCGTGAGGTTCGGAAGAGTTAGGAAGGGGCTAAAGATATCTTGGTACACGTACAGTCAGCGACCAAGTTAAGACTCTAAGAAGAAGGAGGTGTAACAAATCTTTCGGCTAAATCCAAGTTCGAAGAGCAGTGATAGTAGAATAGCTCTTATTCGCTACTAGCAAGAGTCGTGGAAATTGCGATGGCCTAACCGAACTGAGGCGGTTTCAAAACCAGAAGCGGAAATAAGCTATTACAAGAACTGGAGGTCTGAGAGTTTCTCCTTCACCACCCACATAGCGGCCCGTTGCGCGGATCTTTGCTCAAATGGTAGACACACCTCGCTAATCTAGACGCCTTTTTGCTACTTGCCGTCAGAACAAAAGCTTCCGAGAAAGATGCAATACTGGCGGTTTGACCAAGTCGATACTATTATGAGATAATGTACCAAACTCTTACTTTCTCTCAGCTTCTCATCTGGGTAATATCGGCGACCACCGTCATTAGCACGATTACCATGAGTGTTCGTACTCGGTCACCGGCTCTGTCCTTCCGCGGCGGGCCGTCATGGCGTTTAGGTTTCAAAACCGTTTTGTATCGACAGCGAAGAATGTGTAAGTCTGCAAGTCATGCTTGTGGAAAGGCAGCCTAGTTGACAACCCAACGGCTGCTACATGGCGCCAGTTGGGCATGCATGCCTCCTGCGATATCACCAGGTAACGCTTGCTCGATAATCAAGCTTCACCCCGCGGTCTCATGCACCAGCGTTCTAGACGAATGCTACCCCAGATGGCCAAGATGCAGACTACACTTTGGTTGGCAGAATTAATCTCGAGCCGCTTGCCTGGTATTCGCCTTCACCACTCAGGGCTCTGTTGCGGTCAGCACAGTAGTTTAAAGTCACGCGCTTACCGCCGTTCCTCCGGGGGAAGGTATCCTGATCGTCCTCGTTACTGGTGTCAAGCGTGGTTTTGAGGTCTCGTGTTCGCCTGCCGTGGGTCTAAAGATCTGAAGCGTTAGCCTCGGCAAATATACTCAGTACTCTAGCACCACCATGCCGTGGTGTCGTATTAACCAGATGGAGGGTAGTTGTTTGTAGAGTCACGGATGGTCCCTGCAGGCGGGCGCTTAGGTAGGTGGTATGGGGAAAGCCAGACTAAAGGGGCAGGTTAGGTGTACCTGAGCCGTGTGACGTCACTTACTTGGCAGCACCGGGCAGATCTTTGCCGGTCGAGGCCGATTTCGATGTCTTCCCCAATGTGTTCCAGGAAAATCCAGCAACCAGGTCTGAGGACAACCAAGTCGATCAAGAGAGACTAGAAAGACCTGTAAATTCTAAACATCGTCTCATGACCTGTCGCAGATCCGCAATTGCAATACCCTCGACGAATATCTGGAAAGATTGACAAACTTTCTTCTTTCTTTTCAATAGTTTATCGATGGCCTATTATGGCCATCGTGATCGGGTGGCGTCATCGAGTCTTCATGTTACACTCCACGGGTATCATCAGTCGCGCGACGAGTGACGAATAACACTCGTCATTCGTGTTAGACTGGTCTCTGCTGCGAATGTTCAAAACCTTGTTGTGGTTTCGGAGACAAGGCCAGTTCTCAGGAAGCTCACCACCATTCTTTCTTGGGGAAGATATGTCCCCTCAGAGCCAATAGTAAAATCCAGTGTGAAGCGCTTGTTCCGAAGAGCAGTCTGAAGTCCTCTCCGCTGACATCCTCACTCGATAATTGGAATGGACTTTACGACAACCTGAAAAGTCACGTTGACAAGGTGAGGTGAGAAACAAGGTTAGTATCTTGTGTCGGGAGGGGCGCATCGCCTCGATGATGGAGTACCAAGTGCGAAGCTTGATACCTCTCCCCAGAATCGTTGTTAGTAGACTTCAGCACTGTAGTGTGATATCAGTAAGAAGAGGATTGGTGCTGTACAGAACTCATTATATCGCTTGACCTTCTGAAGAGGCATCGCACATTTGTTCTTGGTACGAGATAGAGCACAGGCGATACCTTATGTTTGCAGTACTGATATCGCAAGCAGTCTTGCATCCTTACAGGACTGCTAACAACTCACCGTTCCTAAACCTCCAAACGGAACTCCATCTCATGGCATATGAGCGCCTTCCGTGTTCAACAGACTACGCCACAGCGAGACAAGAGGGATATGGAGACTCTTGACCTTTTCATTAAGATATTGTGAGTCTACACTGGGACGCGTCAGATTTCGGTATCATCCCGAGTTCGAGGTAATAGTCAGTTCTCAGAGACGGAATCTGAAGATGCACGAGATATCTTCCAGGCTTCCAAGAACGCTCGATTTGATGTCTGCGAGGAAGCAGACCCGAGAGATATGGAGTTCGGATAGATCGTTCGCACCTTTGGTGGTCTCTTGTAAGTGAGAGAGTTCTTGAGCGATGAATGTAGCGAGGAGACTGACGAAGACGATGATGCGATTGAAGAAGTGGAGTCGAAAGAAAACATGGCGAAGAGATGGAGACGAATGTAGAAATGGTAGAGAGTACTATATAACTGGTGATTGTAGCCTCCTGGCTTTATAATCAAGAGATGTTTGCTCGAAGACGCAGCTTGGATCCACCATGTTACAAGATCTGTAATCAAAGTTAGCGACTATGGCCACATTACAAGACCACGTTCAGGTCTACCTTCCGTTCTATATCCTGAAGAGTCTCATGTAGTTGCTTTGCTGTATTCTGAATCTGCGATAGCGGACTTGACAGGCCGAAGAATCGGACCTTCTTGTCCGACACGAGACGTCATGACCGTCTACCCACAATATTCTGTCGGTTGGACCTACCGCTTCAAGATGCCGCGATAGCATTCATTACTCTTATGAAAATAACGTGATATAACAGGCAGCGTCCAAAGATGGTAGCTATTGCACAAGCGATGCATCAAACTGAATTGCCCAGAGGGCGACGTGCGTGGAGAAGTGGGGCAGACTAACTGGAACTGGCGCGATAGTCCCGCGGCCTCTGCTTATCGCGTCGATAACAGCGTTTGAGACCGCCAGTTGACAGTTGGAAATATTTTAATGCAACAATGACTTATCTGATTGGCGAACGAGCAGCGGTTGAGTCAATAGACATACGTTTGAGATCGCGCTGCTGAACCGTTGGGTCATTGATCTGTCACGAAAGTATAAAGACCCCGCTGGACCCTGATAGCTTCGAACAGTAAGTCTGCCTCAACGACCTCTACAACAACACATCTCTGCAATGGCCCTCGATCGACTGAAGCAAGCAGCGTCACACATAACGGGAATTGGGGAGCCTCCACACCCGTTCGATCCTTTGAGTGAATCCGAGATTGAGCGCGCAGTCGCTATCATCAGAAAAGAGCACAGTGATGTGTTCTTCAACGCCATCACGTTGTTGGAACCACGTAAGGCGGAGATGATGAAATGGCTAAAAGACCCCGAGCACACACCACGACCAAATCGAGTTGCCGATGTAGTCTGCATTGGCCGCGGAAGCAAGGTGTACGATGGACATGCAGATTTGACTGAAGGCAAGATTGTCACATGGGCATTGACTGATGACGTACAACCACTTGTAAGTTGGGAAGAAAAGTCAATGCACAGGACCCTTCTTTGACCTAGATTCAGATTACTATGGAGGATTTGCAAATAGTAGAGACGATTGTGCGGAAAGATCCGAAGGTTATCGAACAATGTGGCATAATCGGTATCCCACCAGAGGACATGCACAAGGTCTACTGCGACCCCTGGACTATTGGCTACGATGAACGCTTCGGCACCAAAGTCCGTCTTCAGCAAGCCCTCATGTACTACCGTCCACACATTGATGACTGCCAATACACGTACCCGTTGGATTTCTGCCCTATCTATAACTCCGACACGCAGGAGATCATTCACATCGATGTTCCACCAGTCCGAAGACCTCTCAACCAGGCTCCACCGAACAACTATCATGCAGCTGCTATCGAAGCTGAAGGTGGGTTTAAGACCGATTTGAAGCCCATCAACATCACACAGCCGGAAGGCGTCTCATTCAAACTTGATGGGCGATATATCAGTTGGGCGAACTGGAAGCTGCACATTGGCTTCAACTACCGCGAAGGCCTAGTCCTGTCCAACATCACGTTCAACGATAAAGGCACTGTTCGCGATACCTTCTGGCGCCTCTCGCTTGCGGAGATGGTGGTGCCGTACGGTAATCCAGACCATCCACACCAGCGGAAACACGCCTTTGACCTTGGAGAATATGGTGGCGGATACATGACCAACTCGTTAAGCCTGGGCTGTGATTGCAAGGGCGCAATCCACTACATGGACGCAGCATTTGTCAATCGCGCCGGCCAGGCAACGACCATTAAGAACGCTATTTGCATTCACGAAGAAGATGCCGGTATTCTGTTCAAGCACACAGATTTCCGCGATGATAGTGTTACTGTCACTCGTGCTCGCAAACTCATCATCTCACAGATCTTCACTGCTGCGAACTACGAGTACTGCGTATACTGGATCTTTCATCTAGATGGAACCATTCAACTGGAGATTAAGCTTACCGGAATTCTGAATACATATGCGATGCTACCGGGCGAAGATTTGAAAGGCTGGGGAACGGAGGTCTACCCTGGCGTGAATGCGCATAACCACCAGCACTTGTTCTGCATGCGCATAGATCCAAACGTGGACGGCCCAGAGAACACTGTATTTATGGTGGACGCAGTACGTGGCGAAGGCGAAGTCGGCAGTGCGGAGAACAAGTACGGCAACGCCTTCTACGCGAAGAAGACAAAACTCAGCACCCCTGAGCAAGCGGCGACTGACTACAATGGCGCCACGAGCAGAACATGGGAAATGGCCAACACCAATAAGCTGAACCCGTACAGTAAGAAGCCGGCTTCTTATAAGCTGGTGAGCAGGGAAGTGCCTGATCTGCTACCAAAGCCCGGAAGTTTGGTGTGGAAGAGAGCGGGTTTTGCGAGACATGCAGTGCATGTCACCAAATGTAGGTCTCATGTGGAAATTGCGTACAAAGACATAACCTAACGTCTTGTAGACGATGACACGCAACTCCACCCAGCAGGCCGTCACGTCCCGCAGACCTCTGGCGAACCATCTCAAGGCATCCCCGCCTGGATCGAGGCTAACCCTCAAGAGAACCTTGACAATACTGATATCGTCTTGTGGCACACATTCGGAATTACACATTTCCCATCGCCGGAAGACTTCCCCATCATGCCTGCTGAGCCGATGACGCTATTGCTGAGACCTCGCAATTTCTTCACACGCAACCCTTGTATGGATGTTCCGCCTAGCTATTGCAGCGTGCCGAGCGGCGTCAAGCAGGGCAGCACATTGGTAGATAGACTTTCTCGCCTGGCGTTTGGAGAGGAGAAGAAGCCTGAAAGCACTGCTGCTTCGACCTGTTGCTCAGATCAGAAGTTTGGAGCAGGTGTGTAGTCTGAGTATGCCATGTACGTTTTATGTATAGTTTGAATGCCGCATTTACTTCCGTTGAGTGTTGGTTGCGTGTCTTTACGTGTAAGAGGTTCATAGGTGCCGCCCTGGCAGGCGATGCACCAAATGACGTCGCCCACGCGAGCTGTCCGCGGGTCGTTCCGATGGCAGGTCCAAGCTTCCACCGAGTCCACGTCCGACAACTTCTCTCCCCCACGATTGTTGGCGGCGTCTGCACCACCGCGTGACAGCAGCCATGATATAGCGTCCTTTACTCCACCAACACAGTGCCGTCCTGATCCTAGCAAGTCTGAGGATGTTCTTGCCGGTTTCGACTGCCCACCATCCGAGCCCGCAATGCCCCGCGCATTTCCACCCGTAGAGCAAAATGATAAAACGAAACAAGCAAACGCGCCTAGGAGCCCTTTATCAGCATCTCTTGTTGAGAGTATAGCCGGATTCAGCGCCGGTGTCGTCTCTTGCCTCGCCGCGCATCCACTCGACTTGTTGAAGAACCGACTGCAGCTCAATACACAAAGTCGATCGCGACCTGGTGACTCGTATCGAATACTTCGAAACGTCATCAAGGACGAAGGGGGCGTACGCGCATTGTACAGAGGGCTATGGCCAAACTTGCTGGGCAACAGTCTAGGCTGGGGCTTGTACTTCCTCTTCTATGGCAATCTGAAAGAACTATTCCAAAGTAGAAGGCAAAAAGGAGAGCATCTTGGGAGTGCTGAGTTCTTTTCCGCGAGCATCGTTGCTGGTATGTTGAGGAACGGTACTCTGACGTGCCTTGCTGACCGTTTGCTAGGCCTTCTCACCGGTGCTTGCACAAACCCTATATGGGTAGTGAAAACCCGTATGCTTGAGCGCGGCGCGAATCATCCCTCTGCATACAAGTCGATGACCTTTGGTCTCCGTCACGTATACGAAACTCGAGGATTGGCGGGGCTATGGGCAGGCTTTTTGCCTTCGTCTCTGGGTGTACTACATGGTGCAGTACAATTTAGTATTTATGAAAATATGAAGAAGAGACGGGGAACACACATTGGCGGGCAAGATAAGCTAAGCAACTGGGAGTACGTCTACATGAGCGGCGGAAGCAAACTACTAGCTGGAGCCATCACGTATCCGTATCAGCCAATAAGGGCGAGGTTGCAACAGTACAATGCCGCTCAGCAGTACAACGGACTGCTGGATGTGCTTAGAAAGACTTATCGGAACGAAGGATTCCTGGCTTTCTACAAGGGGTAATAAATTCCTCTGCATTCTAGACCTCATGTACAGCGAAGCTAACCTTCACAGTGTCATTCCCAATACGCTGCGAGTTATTCCAACCACTGTCGTCACGTTCCTGGTTTACGAAAACACCAAATTATATCTGCCAAAGGTCTTTGACGACGACGAGCAGCAAAGCCACGAAGAAGACTAGGTCATAGAATACGCGCACTCGGTTGTCTTTTTATCACTAGCTTATGACACGATATCTGCCTCTGCAATGCGACCGTTGTAGACAAATCGACACTATATGCTTGAGAGCTGAAAGCGCGTTACGTGTGTAAATTCTGTGAGATATTTCGAAGTAGACGTAATGATTCATTAGTGAGAGAAGGCAGTAGCTGTGCAGTACCAGCATTCACTCAGCTGTAATAAAAGGCGTTTGCGTATCTGCATGGCCTCCAATCAAACTTTCAGCCTGGTACAAGCGAGTCCTCCGATTCAGTCGCAACCGCAAGTATTTGCAAGAGGCTCAAATCTCTACTACTCCAGCCCGATCATAGAGTTGGGCTTCTGCGCGGTCAGTCACGTCTTTTTCAACTCACTTTTGCATGTCAATAAATCCTTCTCATGTGGTAGTGAACCCCATGAACACTGAAGCTTACGGATAGCAGTGACGTTTTTTCACATGAAAGCCATATCGAGTTTACATACCGACCGCAGCTCCACCCCAGCCGTATTGTAACCGCACCAGAAAGACCCCACCTCACTGCTAGCACCAATGGATCCACCAAACAAGCTTCCACAGCGTAAGCCATCCATACTCGGGATGCACAACAAGTATCGATCGGCACAACGCACGCCACCCGATAGCATATATCCTTCGACTTCCACGTCGTCTCAGCCGTACAACTCTCGGCCTCAACGTCGCCGCCTAGGACTGCGTAGTTTCTTCAGCAAGTCACACGAGCCAGAAGCACAGTCTCCAGTACTCACGTCTCCTTCGTCATCTCTGGCAATGCCATCGTCTCTGCCTCTCATCCCAAAGTTTACCAAGGCATTTGTCAACGCCTTGAATTCTTCACAACTCTGCGATTTCCTTACTTGGTTATTGTATCATGATATTGTTGAACTTCCCGAAGTTCCTGAGGCTTGGTACAAGTGGATCAGTAACGTGGAGATGCGTGGTTGGATTGCTTTGGGTAATTTTCTGGCGGTGTTGCAGGAAAAGGGTGCTGCGCACGAGTTCGATCTCATTGTGCTGGACTCTATATGTGACCGCATCGGATTAACACGCTCCACAGTTCACGCGTTGTTGATCCGCTTCGCCGATCCAGAGAAGATGAAGTACAGCAGCCTCGTCTTAGATGAAGGTATGTTTCAAGATGATGATGCTAGACTCAGGCTTCTTGAAACTACACAGTCCAAGCTACACGAGTTGTACAAGCTAGCTGTCCACTTGAAGCCGCAACAAGGCTTACAGTACGAAGAATGGCTAAAAGTCATTCAAAAGCGCCTGCGTGCATTTTCGCTCCAGGTGGTTGACCCATGCGTTGCTCATCTACGAACTGGCAAGCCGCTCACTACCGTCGCAACATCAGAGCAGCTTCCCAAGGATGTCATAGAAGGTATAAAGATGAAATGTCTCTACGAAGCTATGCAGCAGGAGCGCGTTGTGCCGTTGGAGCGCTACCGCATCCGTTCAGCTCAAACGGACATAGCAATCTCAATTCCTCTATCGTCATTACCTTGTGTCGACGACGAGGTTGAGCGAGCGCGTAGTCACGCTATCGAACTTATGGTTGAAAATCGTGGGCTACGGTCTCAAATCGCTGTTCTACAGCAAGACAAGGAGAGGCTGGCGAAAGCAAATGAGAAGCTAGCACAAAGGTTTGCTAAACTTGGTCACCTGCAGCCTACAGGCTATGTTCGTTCATTTTCTTGTGATGAACCATACGGCGACGTGTCAGAAGATCGAGAGGGTAATGAAGACCAATCAATGACCTTACAGGTTCTGCCACCAAGCAGCCGCCGCCGATCGGTCTCTACTGGCGATATCGAGGCCTTCGCTACAGTGCTAGGCCAGGGATTTAGCATTTCCACAAATCACCGTCGGGATTCTGAAATCGAAGCTCAGAAGTACGAGGACATGTTCTCTAGTTCGCCATCGTCTCCCTTACCCACAGTTCGCCTCTCAGCGCTTGCAACGCCTACTCCCTCGTCTTCGATAGCTGGTCTACGTGCTGCTCGACCATTAACCTCAGGATATGCACCAATGAGTGGACGACGAAGTGGCATGATATTTGACCGAAAGAATATGGTACATCTAGCCGGGACCGGGGTCAAGGAGGGAACGCCCACATTGAAGGGGAGTGACACTGACGACAATGAAGGGCGAACGGGAGAGTACGCATCTCTGACGCCGATGCCAGAGAGTAGAAAGATATTTGATCTATCAGACTAAGGACCAAGACGGAGGTAGTCCTGGTGCGATAAGCGTTCGAATTGACTGTATTCTATTGTCCATTTAGTATACGAGATTGTTTGAATGATATCAGCAGTTTGAAGATGGTGAGGCAAAGCTTGTTAAAACTATCACTACATCAAAGAGCAAAACTAAACATCTCTTTGAAGCATACCTAGGTAGTATTTCTTCTTACTACAATAAAGCGTGTTAAGATGTATATGGACACAGACAGAAGATCCAAAAGTCTATAATACTATTAACTCTCATAATTTTCTTGTCAGGAGCTAATGTAAGCTATAAAGTGGGGCTCATTAGTCTAATACCTGTTTAGTTTTTCCCTTGTATGTGGTGCTATAGACGACATGATTTTGTAACATGTTTATCCAATACGAAGCATGACTACTGATACTTCGAAAACAACTGAATGAACAACGAACGGCATCGTTCTCGAATTCATGTCTTCGTAGCACTACAACTCAATTGCTACACGCGTTCAATAGGCCACTGGCCTCCTCCACCGGTCTCTGCTGTTCAATACACCTTCCCTCTATCACTCAGCCTGGCCCACGATCTCGTTACGCCAAGACTCCCTGCTCTTGCTGGCGTGCTTCTCAATATGACGCTGTGCATCTTCCTTGAATTGGACCTCGTCCCAGTGGTAGTTGAGTGTAACGACAGTGCTGATAGGGTCGCTGAATTCTGGCACAAGCAGTAGCAAATAGATGGTATCGATAAGATCTTTAGTAGAAGTGTCCAGTGTTCAATTGCGGTCCAGAATCGAGTGGCAGATGCGACCATGACGATTGATGTTGGGATGGTAGATGGGTGTGATGAAGCGTGCTTCTGGCGGTGACATCGGGTAGTTATTTCCCATTTCCAAGTACAGAAGGAAAGCACCACCAGCGTATGTACTATCGTCTGGGCCTATAGATAGTTAGCATGACCCTAAATGCTACTTTTAGAGCCCTCGTGAGGACGAAAGCACCAAGCGACATACCTTGCATTACATCCTTCCAGAGCCCCATGTTTGACTCACTGATATAGACATCGTAATGCAGGTGCGGCTTAGCGCCTGAATTACGAATCTCGTTGTGAATTCTGCTCAGTCGTACAGTATCGCCTGTACGATTAGTTGCCGTAACTTTGTTGAAGTGACCAAGCTCAACAAACGGCTCTGCGAGTTGGGGATGTTGCTTGCGATCCGGAAGTTCGTGGCGGCTGACTTTTTCGACCTTGACGATCTCTTGAGTAACACGAAAGCTATACAGGCCTGGGTTTGCGAGATAATTGCGATGGTAGACAGTATTCTTTGGGGCCTTATCCGGGCGCTCCGATAGGGAAAGCACGGGTTCCATTTCACAGATCGCCATAGCTTCCTCCAGACTGTTCGGTTGGAACACATACCAGCCTACCAGATAAGACGTCGACTTGAGATCGGCATTGTCGCTCTCATCGCCCAAGCAGAAAGAATCAACCACGATACCGCTACGATACAGGCTTGAGGGTAGGCTATGAGCTTCAATTTTGGATTTGTTATCCTCTCCGTCAGAAATGCAGATGATTCTCAATTTCGCCTTCGGGTACTGCTTGGCGTACTCCAAGAGTTGATCCTGTGCAAGAGCAATACTGTCCCAGATAGCCGTGTCCCCAGATGCTTTCACTTTGTTGAGTTTGTGACGGAATTGTTCGAAAGCATTCGTAATTTTCTGTGATAAAGACGACTTGTTACTGAAAGTAACCAAACCAAGATGTGTCTGGAAGTTATATGCAAGCAGACGATTGACGTAGGCATCAAACATCTGCTTCAGGACGTCTAGGCGGCTCAATGTATCGCGCTTCTTACTAGAGCGTGGGGATCCTCCTAGAAATACCTTGAATACAAGAGGACGAGTACCCGGCGCTGGATCTTTATGATCTGTATCGTCTGATACGTCGTCGTTGGAGTTTTTGTCAACAACACTCTCTGTTGCTAGCTTGCCAGTCGAATCGGTACTGTTGAAATAGGGTGCCATGGACCTCCAGTGGTCGTACACTGGTGTGCCGGCAATGTGGTTGTCCCTAGTATCATGCAATCTGGTCCAGAAGATGAAGGGCTGTTCAACGCGGTATGTCGACATGTCCATGAACCTCTGACGATAATGTCGGAAGACAGCTGATGCTAGACTTTTGGTAGTCTGTTTCGGTGTCCAATATGACACAACACTGTCCTGGTAGTGGTTGCGATATACCTTGATGAGACACAGTTCCTCAAGACCATTGTTCGTACTCGATGCCGTCGACTCCAGAGCTGTGATAAACACTTCGTAGGCGGCATTGATCATGTTGACGGCGAGTTCTTGAGTTTCAGGGATCCGAACATCTCGATGCCGTAGCTCGTAGCTCGTGTAGCGGCCCTTGGTCAGACGAAAGGCAATTTCCCATAGGTCTGCTACCTTCAACTCGCGTGGCAAGCCCATCGATCGCGTTTCGAGTGGTGATCTGAAAGTAATCCGCATTGTGCTGGAAGAGGGTCTCGTCCTGTTGCCCGATTGCGTATACTTTGCCATGATGTCAGAACCATTCATGTATGCAGTAATCTGCTCCTGCATATGTACGTTGGGTCGTAGATCGTTGCTAGGAAGGATCAAGTTTGTAAACGGCGAACGCTCGTTGAACCGAAGCCTAGAGAAAATCTAGGTAAGCAATTGATCACACGCACTCATACAAAGCGAGGCTACGAGGAAGTCACATGTCCACTTACCACCGTTCAATTTCTTTTCGCTCATATGTGAACCCGTCCACAGTAGTCACAGGATCTTCCATCACATTACTGCTGATGGGGCAATGATACTCGGGCGGTACCTCAAATCCAGGGCTCTCAGTGGTAGGGAGAGTCTTGTGTAGCTTGGGAATTGCCTCGCCTGGCCTCCATGTTAGCGGATCCGATACCGACACATTACCGAGGCAAGCAATAAGCCATGCACAAAGCAGGCTCCTGTACTTTTGCAAGCGTAAGGAACGATTATTGAGAACGTTCATATCGTGATCGATGATTTCCGATCGAGTACGATAGTAATATTGGCTGGTCTGCTACCTGAGACCTTCCAATTGTTTTCTCTTCGATTCTATCCGCTGATCGTGGAGTTGTTTGAGGATCTCGAACACCTTCTTGGCGTTCTGACGGCGGTGGTAATCATCTTTACCAGTGCCGACGATAGCAATGAAGTCGTCGTACGATTCGTGAGAGCGAATATACTCTTTCAGCTCATCAGGGCCAGGTAAATCGAAAGCACTGTTCTCTTCTACCGGCGCTTGAGGGGGGGCTACGGTGGACCGCACCTGTTCCTGCATCTCTTCTTCCGCATCTTCGCTGTTCTGTATGTCATCGAAACCGCAACGCTCATCCATACTTGATGACAAGTCGACACATATCATTGTTGTTTCGTCCGGAGCAGTCAATTTACGATGACTATCGCCATAGGCCTCAAAGACAATGGACCCATCAGCTTTGCGTTGGGCAAGGATCGGTTCCAATAACTGTGTAATGATCGAAACGTCCACGGCCTCTTCTTCACTCATACTAGCTGGCCGGAACATGAGAATATCTCTGCCTGCCTCGGCACAACCTGCACGCCCCACGTATACAGCCAGGAAGCCATCTCTGTCCAGAGTCAAGACGGGAGCAGAGGCAGAAGCCAGACGAGCTGGCGGAATGACACTTAGTTGGTTGCGGCTGCAGAGATTGGCCAGGTATGTGAGGTCAACATACTCCGCAGGTGAGATGACATTTTTGACGTCATTACTGTCCACATAGCGTGAGCTGGTCCTAACGGCATCGGGGTCGAATACTAAGACTTGCGTTCTAGTACCACCGGAAACTTTAGCAATTCGATCCATGTTGAGTCGACTGTTGAGACCACTTTGCAACGGTCTCTGTTGATCCAGCTTAGAAATCCTTGTTCCTCGAAAGCCTCGTGAAACCCAACATCGACGAGACCAGACATTGTCTGGACAGACTCCGAAAGTACCGGGTGCATAGTGATCAGGTTTCGTAGATCATAAACCTTCATCCCAATATATGGCAGCGTGGAATTTTCTCCCAAGTTGATTTTCATGTTCTTGGCCTTCTCTAGGATGAGACCGAAAAGCAGACGAGATCCTTCGAAGAATCGCTTCGGGTCAGAGCGGACAGTTTGCAGAGGGACGACGCTCTTGAGAACCTCGTATAAACACTGCGCTAACGCAGCCCGCTCAGGGAGTCCCGGAGTCTCGCCACGCATGAGGATGTGTGCGGCTCGGACAGCAGGGGGAAATTGTGTCAAGAGATGGATCATATGTAGGACCGAATCTCGTTGGCCATCTACCATGCTCTGATCCCCTGTCAGTTCGGTGAAGACACGCAAGGTCGACAGGAGGCTGGCTAGCCCACGGTCAGTTTGGCCGATGTGGTGTTCCCATGACTCTGACTTCTTAAAGATGCCAGCTTTTCCTTGATCAACGCGTTCATTCTGACCTAGTTTCCATCGCTGCACAGCGTAGATATCAAGAATGCCATTGACAGCGCAATCTTCCAGTCGCGCCGCTTCAATGGTAATGTCGGCATTGTGTGCAGTGATTTCGAGAGGGCACTCTGATGTGTGTATGTCGACGACTAATGCTCGCTGAGCTGCGTCATGCCCAGATTGTCGGCCTTGATCTTGACGATGGGAATGGCATCGCTCCGAGCAATTAGCCATGATTGGGAGTTTAAGATGGCTCTTATCTCCAGAAAGCTGCACACCTGTGTCCACAACACCTCCTAACACGTTTGTAAATTTGTCGGACAGCTTCCGCTCTAGAATACGCTCCATATAACTGTTCATTGCCCGCTGAATCGTACTGAGCTTGTTATCATCGACTGGAATGGCGACTACAACGTTGTTGGAGTGAACAAGAATAGCTGTATGGAGAGCATCGTGGTCTTCAGTTCTATCGACGTTGAGAACGGCATTGTCATCAATATTTCGAGCAAAGCTGCAATTGCACTCTAGAGCAGGACACGCTCCCTCTTCCGTCGGAAAGCCCAAGTGTTCTTGAATGATACCTTTCAAATGCTTCAGGGTACACTTAGTCGACACGGGCGTCGAGATCAGGCTGACGACATTAGTTCTGGATTGAGCTGACTCTGGGGTAATGACGCGGATATGCAGCGTCTTTGTCGATCTGCCAGACGTCGCCAATTGTGGTGGGATGGAGGAAGCGGACTGTTCTTCGTGTATCTGAGGTACCATTAGTACTTGCTATGTGGGATGGTTGTCATTCTTTTGTAACGAGGCTAGCTTTAACAGTCACTTACATCAACGACCGCATAGACAGTCTCTTTGGGGTCGGGTAGGACGTCGGAGAGGAGTTCCTCGAGATTCAGCATTGGCCCATCGTTCCTTTCCAGATGCAGTGTGATTTGGGGTTGCTTCGCGTCGGTGAGGCCTAGTTTTGTGGCTAAGGCTGGCAGGCGCGACTTGACACGATCATGCAAGGCTGAGCAGAGCTGAGATGGCGACAGCACGACGAGCAAGCTCGCCCTTCTGCCTCTTGCTGCAACGTTGACGGTGTATCTTGCCATGTTTTGTGTGTGTGTGTGTGTGTGTGTGTGTTTATATGACTGGGTCATCCAATGTCGAGCCTGTGGTGAGGTGAGGGAGGACCTGGTGGGGCAGAGGTGGTGTAACTATAAGGGAAGGCACGCTTACTCACGCGTTTGCGGTGGTCATTAGAACGTAAGACACAGGTCTAGAGCCACACTGAAGGAGACCGCAACTGCAAGGCAAGTGAGCCAACAACTGAGTAGTGGAAAGATAAAGGTTCTCGCAGATTAGACAGCATGATCATGTAAGCCTAGATATGTGTGACCAAGATCGATAGAAACACTCATTCGCGTGCAATTGGCACTTGCCAAATGCGCTCGCAATACATCACCACTAAACATCTCATTTGCGCTGTCCATGTTCAAGGATCGGAATTCAATCGAACACTCACTGATAGTAGAAACCGCAAGGTCTGATTCCACACATGGTGAACATGTACATATCATTCGTATGGCGTCATCCGTAGCCTCTCCTCTCCTAACGCCCAAAAGGTTTTCCCGTTTCTCTTTTTGTACACGAAGAGTATGGTCATGACACTTCCCCGTCACCTTGTGTCAGAAGTTCATCTATTCGTTTGGTGAAGATGATTGGGATAACAGCTCCAATGAGACAAGAAACGGCGAGGGGGCAACTTGGAATCATCTCAACGAAAGGAACAAAGATGCCATGAAGCGTAACTGTGAAACATTACGTAGTTATGCGCTCGTGGCGTTACGAGATTTTGAATTCTACCGTCCCATTGATGCGAGTCGACGATGGGTAGGAGGATGAATAGCGCGTCGCGGTTGGACGCGACTCACATGAAGTTGGCGAAAGAGACAAGACACGTGTTAGCGCGCATTTGTTATCGATAGCAACCCCGGGGAATTATCCAACTGTCCTCATCGCCCTCCACCCAAAACCACAACTTGCGCGAACTTGACCTCTACGCCAGCCACAACTCCTACGGCCCTAACCCCACGAGTTTGATACACAAAGAACACATAGTCATCATGGAGTCACCGGATACTTTCACACTCCTACCTCTTGAGATGGACCCCAATACCACTGAGATCACCGCATCCCAGAGCCTTAGCAACGCCCTCGAGACCGAGCTAGCCGCTCTGAACAATCTGCACAGAAACCTGCTTCAAGTCGAGACACCCACAGGCACGCCCCCACCACCTGTTCCCGTCAACCCCAAGCGTTCCGCTCAAATCAATAAGCTGCGCGAGTCGGGCAACGCCGAGTTCAGAAAAGGAAAGCCCGAGGAGGCAGGCAAGCTCTATACTCTCGCGGTCGATATGGCGCTCGCTCGCCCGGCATGGGAACCCTCAGGTCTAGTGAGAGAAGAGGTCTCCGGGCTGCTGAGCAACCGCGCACAGGCAAATATGGCTCTTAAGAACTGGGCAGAGGGCGCCGTGGACGCAGAGGCTAGCGTGGAGATGAAGAAGGTCGGCAATGCAAAGGCCTGGTGGAGGCGGGGCAAGTGTCTGCTCGAGATGGGCAGATTGGACGAAGCGGCGCAATGGGTCAAGCAGGGCCTGGAATTCGAGGCTACAGAGCAAGATCTCGTGAACCTGAAGGACGAAATTGAGAGGAAGCAGAGAGGCGAACCTTAGGGTGTTCTCGGTACGAGACTGTAATGCGCATCACCCATGTTTGGGTTTACAGTCTCATCACTTTTGGTATTTGGATTAGATGAGGGTGGGGGTGACGCGGTCAACTGGTGAGACGAGTGCTCACCTTGAGCATCTATATGACGCCTGGAGAGACTTCGTGCATTTTGGCCCCTTTGCACTGAGCGCAGAGGGAATGGGCATTGGCAAGGCGTTTGGCGCTGGAGGTCGTATACCAGGATTACAGAGCATCCGAGTCTTTAAGGCTTTGGGGGTATTCATAGAGACTCCAATCAGAAGCAAATCTCTACAGCCTGTATCATCTCTTGTTGTAGATCGCAAGACCGTCCTGGCTGCGTAGGGTCAAGGGGTATATACAAACATGGATGGACTCGTATTTGGCGTGTGGATGTGGGTGAGAGCGCCGCCGAATTAGTCCCAGGCTTCTGCACTGCTGACACGCGTCGAGTTTGAGCAGATTCGTGCTCAAGCGCTTTTCAGTCTTCTGCGACCGCATCTTTGGTGATGTAGACAGGAACGTCTCATTGTCCCAATGTCGTGTGAACCTTCTTCCGTGGATCCACAATGAGTAGCCTGCATTGCCTAAGAGGCTAGATTTCACTCTAGCATCTGATAAGACGATCTGATAAAAATTCTCTTTGTTGCGCCTTGCCGTGTTGGGATTGGCGGTGCGAGCCGCTTGTCGGGCTTCTACCGCTGTTGGACTGGTCAGAGAGCAACATGATTTCGCGAAAAAGACGAAACTAGATGTTTGCAGTACACAAAACGAGCAACGCGTTAGAAGAAGATCCGGCATACCAAATCAGGTTCGCAACATCTCATAGCGGGTGGTATCGTACCTATCTAAACAGGTGATCTTGCGGTGATATCAGAGTCTCAACGCGTGCGCAGCGCACAGTCTCAAGCAGTGGAGACAGCCTACAGGATATTCTACCTCGTAAAAGGCCCGTAAACAACCCGGTTTTTGGAACTATGGAGCGGAAACACAAGGTTTTCCTTCCCGCTCGGCAGTACTAAATGGAAGATAGGCGCCGCTCAAAATGTAGGAACATTTCTTATTTTATCTGATCATCTCTTGCTTGCAGTGACCAGGGACGATGGATGCACGGTCCCCCTCTGAGCGTCGCTATGACATTTCAACAGACAACGGTGGGCGGGAGCTTTCTCTGTCCGAGAAGAAGGCTGGAGATGTGGTTGTAGCATCAAGTGAAGCATCGACCGGTGAGCGTGATGGCAGTGATCGGAGCTCAGCGATCCCGCTGAAGATGAAGCTCATTGCTATTCTCTTGGTTACTGCAACCGGATTTGGTTCGCACTGGAGTAGTGGTGTCACAGGCGCGATGAAAAGTACTGTAAAGAAGGTATGGACAGTATAATGCTCTCATTACAGTTACATCAGCTGACATGGAGAAGGAACTGCATATCAACAACGCCCAGTATTCTGTGCTGGAAGCCAGCGAGGACTTTATGAAAACAGCTCTAATCCTCGTGAGCGGTCTTGTCACCGATAGGATCGGTGGTGCAAGTTTGTCTCTCCTCTACCTATCCAACCATGTCTTGACGCTGACTGTACACCTCAACAGGCGCCATGCTTTGGGGCAATGCCATTTACAGTATAGGTGCCATCTTTATTGCAGCCGCCACCACCGTCCGGTCGTACAAATTCATGATATTCGGGTCGATCGTCCAGGCCTTCGGAGACATCGCCACGCAAGTCGCCCAGTACAAAGTATTCAGCTCCTGGTTCGCGCCATCCAACGGCTTCGCATCGACCCTTGGCTTTGAACTCGGTATTGGCAAGATTGGATCTTTCGTTGGCAAGGCTACAGCAAACGTCATCGCGAAAAACACAGGTGACTTTAGCTGGGTGTACTGGGTCGCTGTTTTCATGAACCTCTTCACTAACGTGACAACTCTCCTTTACTGGATCTTCACGCGGTGGTGCGGCAACAAGTACACCGGTACAGCTGACCCCGCGACCGGCGAGAAGCTCACGGAAAGCAACAAGAAGTTTGAGTTTGGAAAGGTCTTCCGGCTTCCCTGGACCTTCTGGAGTATCGTCGCTTTCTCACTCTTCCAAACCAGTACCGCATCCGTCTTCGCTCAGAATGCAACGGAGTTCGCTGAGCAGCGCTTCGATATGGATGCCGTCAAGGCAGGGTGGTACTCCTCGCTGGCGCAGTATTTAGGGTTCTTCCTCGTTCCGATCATCGGCGTCTTTGTAGATGTTCTAGGCAATCGTATCACCCTTATGCTTGTCTGTGGATTGGGTATGCTGCTATCCATGTGCCTGGCAACATGGGGCCCAACATTCTCTGGTACGGCGGCTTCGTTCGGCATATACGGTGTCGCATCTATGTTTGGCCCGACGGTCATCATCGACTCAATTCGCACTTCTATGTGGTACCAAGAAGTCTTCGGTTCCGGATACGCCGTTAAGATTGCAGTCAACAACGCCATGTCTATCATTATCCGTATCATCACGGGTGTCATTCAGGATCGCGACGATAACTCTTACGACAATGTCGTTATTGTGTATGTTGTACTTTCCGCGTGTTCGGTCGTGGTAGCAGCAAGTATGTTCGTCGGCTGCTTTTGGACAAGTGACCTTGCACAACTCCAGTGGACTAGGCGCCAACGTGTCACAAAGGGCGAGGTCATCAACGTGCGGAGAGAGGAGTTTAAGTCGGGAGCTTCTGGTCAGAGAAACAGGAAGATCAGCATGTCTTTGTTCATTGCGCTATTGTTCTTGGTGGTGGGTTCCTGGGCGGCGTACTTCTGGGGTGTTGCGACTGGAAATAATACCTGAGGCATTGAAGGCTTACGCTACTCATTCATGTATCTCTACATAATGTTGAACCCTTCTAGGGAATCCAAATAGAGCTTCACTTTTTGTATATCTCAGTTCAGGCCGTTGGGGCGCAATCATCTAGTTCACATGCTGTGATCGTGAGGGGAGGGGGTGGTGAGTAACTCCAGTGCATGTTCTGGTGCCACCCATGACACTGAAGCAGCAATCTGACCATTTTCAGAACATCATGACAACAAACAAAGAATCGAAGTTGCATATTCGCGACTTTCATATCCAGCTGTGACCGTATCTGCTTACGCAATTGCGGGACCATCGAGAGCATACATCCAAGCCCCCTGGAAAACTCCTCGACTATATCTTGCATAAACAAGACAAATATAATGCAACAATTTCCCATAGAATTGACATTCGCGGTCATCTCGTGTCCATCGATAAGCATACTTGTCCTCGCCTTTCTCAACCTTGACAGTACCGATATTCACCTTTAGACAATACAGAAAAGCGCCATACAACAGTTTGACCAGCTTGTTTCTCGCAGCCATCATTTCGCGACCGTTGCGTCTTAACTTGGCTTTTGTGCTCTCGACTTCTCGTCGAAGATCTCTAGCGAGATGTGAATTCTTCTGAGCCAACCTGATACTCTTCATAGCGTCCGTCAGCATGGCTTGCTTGTGTTGCTTGCTCATGGAGGTCTCGGCCTCCTCCATCCCACGAACGAAGCGGTCAAAGTGAGGGGCGACATTCTCGTCGAAATTCTCTCCTGTTCCAAGTGGCAAGAAGGTTGTGCGAAACTTCGCGGAATGTGACGCGGTAAGCTTGTCTTTGACATATGTCAGTGTAATTTTTGATGAGGGTATCTCTGAAACTGACCGCGTCTACACCCTCCAAATTCATCAAGATGAAGTCGATATTCCACGAATACTTAGCTTACCATGTTATCGGAAGGAGCTGCGAGTGTTGTCACGGATGCATCGGTTCAATCGCGAACCCTGGAGGTGGGCGTATAACGTAAGAAGCCGAAGCAGGCCCGTAGAGCCGGGATGAACGACTGGAACCAGGGGAGATGGACTGTTTCACTGTCTGGGGGCCCCATCTGACGGTAAGCGTGGATATTAGTCGCATGTCGTTGCTCAGCGAGCGATGGAAGCGTCGATGTGCATGGAGATTTGCAACTGCGTGATGCAGATCAATCATCAGCTGTGGGATGAGGGCGAAATCCTCACCGCCACGGGTATATCTGTGTATGGGCTCACGCGGAGGCTGACAGTAGTGACGTAGTGAGTGGTTTGCACATTGGTGTCGCCGTCTCAAGTGGCATCAAAGTCGCGACGCAGGTGCAAAGTGCCGACATGCGTGCGCTGGCGCGGTCACAGCCGTCATCAATACGAGGTGGTCAGCCAAGACGAGGGAATAAAGTGCTGACGAAGAGGCGAACAGAGAGGCGTCGGGGAAGAGGCTGGGATGCAAGTGACGGACGTCTTGGTGAGGGATGAGCGGCATCGACGGCCATGGACATGCCGACCGCGAAGGCTGGCCCTGGGGGCGTGTCAGGCGCCGTGCAGGCCGTGCAGGCTCTGGGCTTCTCAGCCGCTGAGGTTGTCTTCGCCTGGAGGCTAGCGACTTGCCCATCACAACTTTGTGTCTCGAAATCATCGGCCCGTGTCAGATAGCGCAGATAGTGTTGCCGAACCGGTTGTTAGTGGCTTCTCGCTGTGTTGACCACTTCTCACTGGTTACCGACACAGCGGTTCGCCTGCTGCATCAACTGAGCGAGCGACGCCTGGGTCAGTCTGCTACAAGCGGCGCCCACACAGCGACTGTTGAGCAGAAGCAAGACTTAGCGCTCGCGCCTCTGTCGTAGGGTTTAACCGCTGCAGCCCCAGTATCACGTACAGTCCAGGGGAGTCGCACACCGAAGCCCCCCTTCGCAGCGCATCGCCGTAGAGTAGCAGCCTCGCCCTCATTGGCCGGGGATGCAGTAGCGCTCGCCGGTGGACTGGAAAGAGGGAAGCATCTACCCAGCACTCTTGGCGGCCTTCGACCCGCGAGCAAAACTTCGGTCCCTCCCTCGAGGTCCCGACCTTCTTTGTCTCCTGATGCACTCGCGCGGTAGCGAAGACACTTTGTTGTTGTTGTTGTTTTGCGACTTTCCCTCACGACTAACGGCCGAACCCCAAACCCGCTCCTCGACGACTCGCAACACAATCAATTGACGAGATCGACGCCTCACCCCTCTCCGCCCAGGGCTCAAACCACCGCGTCCACCACCTGCCGCCCTGCCCAACGCGCTCCCTCCCTGCGCCCACTCCCCGTCCTGCCTGAGGGCCTGCCCCAATGGCCGTCTTCGAGAGCAGTGCAGTCCCGCCTCGCCTCGCTCGCGTCATGCGCGAGTTCGAGGAGCTCGTCAAGAGCTTCGAGACTGGCCTGCTGCGGTCGCTAGAGGACCACGGCCACGGCCACGGCCTGGCTGCCAAGGGCGGTAGTCCGCGCGACGACGTCCGTCGCGAGGCCTGCCGACTCGCCATCTCCGACCTCAGCAGCCAATACACCCCCAAGTACATCCGCCGGTCGCTCGATGCAGCCGAGCTCGAGGGAAAGCGTGTCGAGGACCAGCTGCAGACCCTGTCGCTCAGCGGACATGCCCAAGACGACGAGAGCGACCTGGGCAGCCTGCACAATGGCTACTTCCGCCTCTACTCCACAGAGCTGTTCGACTTGCTCGGCCAGCCCACCGACTTGCGCTTCGGCACCCTGCGCTTCCACAAGGACAACCTGAACCACCACGAGATGCCCTCGCAACCACACTCCCCTTCGCCTCACATCACCATCGAACTCGCTCTCAACGAGTCCTTCTTCGTTGCCGACTCGGAAGAGACGCTCCCCTACCACACGTTCCGCCTCCCCACAACACCTTCGCTACGGAATCGCGGCATACGTAGCAGGAAGTTTGACGAGGAAGGTACTTTCCCCGAGTACGACTCGTGGCTGCTCTTCACTTTCCTCGGCAACGGCTGCATCAAACTCGAGGTGCCCATCGAGATGTGCGCAGACGTCTACGGAGGTAGTCTGCGCGGACGGGAGAATCAGGAAGTTCTCTTTTGGGGATTCTTCGTAGACGACGACGAATAGCGTCACATCACATATTTGCTTGGGCTGGAGTTGGTATCAAGAGCTAGACAGGGCTTGGCATTGGAGTTGGGCGCAAAGGACTGGCCTGGTCGGCCGCCGGAACGGGTGCTTGGACATGCATTCACGACTCACGAATCTCCTTAATCACATCTTCTTCTCTTCCCATCCCCACTGCGGGGCCATTATCTCCCTCACTTTCGGCCCAATCCTTCGCATTCACTCATTCTTTTCAAGTGCGTTCAGGGCGGCATTTTGCATAGCATTTTCTTTTACAGTATAATCCTCAAAAGGCCGAAGACGAGGTAGATGATAGAGCGCATAGCGCGACACAGCATTGGTACTCGATAATACACACCGACGGACAAATCACATGCGCCGGATAAACCTTCTGCCGAATCTTTGCCTATCGCCTTTTGTGAAGTGCACCCAACTTTGCATCTGCATTATCCTCTTTTCGGTCATCGATCTTTCGCACCATGGCGCCCGCCTTGCCCGAAGCAGCCGCAGCATCTGCGAACACATCGACTCTTGCAAACACAGGATTCAGGTTGGGCGAAGAGCAACAATTTTCAGATGCGAGCGACAGCGACCAATCACAGACGAGCCAGCGAAGCGCCTCCCCGAGGCGAGCAAACGGCATGGGACCTGCGACCAAGTCGAAAAAGAAAAAGCAAAAGGACCGACGCAAGATGGGCGCATTGGCTGATGAATTAGTCGACGTCTTGGGTGACGCCTTTTCGGCACCCCAAGCTGACCTGCAGACTGGTATGTCACGTGTCGGGGCATTGTTGATCCAACGTCTATTAACCCTGCGAACACTTGCTTTTCTTTCATGCTACCGGGGTGAGCGAACCTGACACCACATGCAGACTCGGTTCAGCAACCGAACGGTGACCAGACTATGGCAATTGATTCGGAGCCTGCAGGCAAGAAGATGAGTGCGTTGTCCCACTATGGCTTCCCCTTTACCGTCATACTAAATCTCTCTAGACAAACGCACTCGTCAAAACCTCGCCAGAATGCAGGCTCGCAAAGAAAGAAAAGTGGCTAATCCCAAGATGGACATGTCGGAAGACAAGACACTACAGGCTCAGATCGTGGCTGCGGAGCGGAGAGGCATGTCTTTAGACGAGTACCGAAAAATCAGCAGTGGCAAGGGCATGTCCAAGGCAGCTGCACGGAGAGCAAAGAAAGATGCCATCAGGAGAGAAAGAGCGGCTGCACCAGTGGATGAGATGGATATCGGTTAGACACACAAGGGTCTTAGTGGTGGCTTGACGGCAAAGTAAAGTTGCGCAGACGAGATGGAGATCACGAGTGAACACCGAAAAAGTTCAGTGCAGAAACTTTTCCCCATGTTGTACGCTTTGGGACGCAATGCATACACAAGATGCAGACGAAGCGCCACTATCGTACTAGGTCGACTTTGCCAAGCCCATATGCTCGTGTCCTGCTAGCGGCACTGCGTGAACTACGGTTCCCCAACCGCTGGATCTGAAGTTTTGCAGAAATCGGTCCTACTCTTCGTCAGCTCTGTCTGTCTCGCTTAGAAAAACTGTAGGAGATTTTATCGTCCTTGATGCGAAGCCCGAAGTGATACTTCACCGCATATCTCGGCGCGACAAAAGCAAACACGAAAAACAAAAACAGTTCAACGTGGCTGCCCATCTTGTTCACCTCTCTCTGTTTTAGCCTGAAACTGTCCGGAAATCACTCCCAATTGTTATTCCAGTCCTTCTCCCCCTACACGGCCACGATCAGCAATCTAGCCAGGTCTACACCAAGAATTGCACAAGTGAAGAACAAAACATCTTCACAAAAAGCAACATGTCGCATGAAAACACCTCCAGGGCTGCATGCAGATCTGCATCACATGAGCCACCTTGACCCTCTTTCCTACATACACGGATGCCGGCGACTCCGCTCCACAGACGTGTCACCAAGCCGAATATAGTTTGAGTACAACTACTTGGAAAACAAAGCAAGCTAGACGTTACATGGCAGGTGTCAGACGGAACAAGGCAGAGTAAAAGGGTGGCGTTGCATCGAAGATGGCAATGGAAGGTGAGATGTATTTGGGTGGGAGACCCTGATTTGCACGTCGCAACTTGTGCTATATGAACACAACACTCAGTACGGAATTTAACTGAGGCAAGAAACATGACGTAGATTACAGTAGTACTGTAGTACTTGTAATAGAGCTTGGTGATCAGGCGCGTTGATTAAGATGGGATATAAAGTATATAGAATGGTGTATCGAGCTTACATCTAGTGTTGGCGATCAAATCTCAATAGTATCGTATTATGGAAGTGATACAACAAGAACATGACGCTCTGCTAAATAATTGGAAACGCCTTATTAACGCAAACCTTGACACGCAATCATCACGCGTGGCCGGAGTTTTGGCCGGTACAAGCATTTAAAAAGTGGAGACCAAATGCTTAATCCGGCTTGGCAACGTGTCAGATCTGCTTTCTTCCAAACCACAACAAGAACTTCATATAATGTTACCTTGACACGATTCACAACATAACTTACTGATATTGAGGGTTTTGCGTGTCCCGATAGGTTTTTAGA